TATCTGCTGTTGAGGGTTATGACAAATAAACGTGACGCTGTGCCCATCTCTTCCCTCTCGGCCCTGCAGAACGGGGCCGGAAGGGGGACACACGCACGGACGGGTGGCGCTCGGCCGTGCTGCCCGGGGCGGGCAGAGAAGAGCGGAGAGGATTTAAAAGTAGGGATAAGGGCTGTGGGTTGCTCTGCAGCCCGAAGGGACGGGAAAATAAAGATTTATAGCTAGCAGCTTCCAGTACGTAAGTTATTTAAGAAACAGACCTTCGCTGAAAGAACGGAATATCCACAGCATTAATTCCCTTGCTTGTCATCTGCCTTTTTAGCTGGTGCATGTATAAGAAATTCAGAAATGTAAGGTGACATTACTTGCAAGGAGCAAGCACTGGAAGCCTGTATTTCCTTTCAACGCATTCAAGCTAGTGCAGAGCTGGAGAGGAAAATGAGTTGGCTGCTGCTAGAGCAGACTCGGCCTTCAGTGTTTGTCCTGCATCTTAGCTCAGTATAGGTGCAGGTATCGATCACTATGAGCTGGACAGAATGAGGTTCATACCTCCTTCCTAAGTGATGCAGAAAGCATAGGTTAAGAAGGAAAGAACCATACCAATAGTAGTTTTGCATTTCAGAAACATTTCAGTCTCATTTTACGAGTGTTTTAATACACCCACGCAACTCAGACTAAGCTGTGGGAATGGTGACAGTGCAGCTTTGGAGCCAAGCCTTGGAAAGAGTCCTGAAAAAAGCAAGGAGCCACATCCTGGTTCTGCTGTGGTAAACTTGCACTGACTTCTTGCAGGGCCAGGATTTCACCCTGGATGTGACCGTGAATAATGGAAATGACAACAGGCACTGTATACACATGATGTAAGTTGAGAAGAGTTAGAAGCATTTGTGATTCATGACATAACTAAGCACATTAGGAGGAAACTTTCCTAGGGAAAGGTTATTCTATAATTATCATCTCTGCAGGCTTTTTATCTTCGTTTGGAACACCTGAAATTAGACAGTCTTAAAGACAAGACACTGGATTCTCAGGCTGTGGAGGAATAGCCATAATCATTAACAGGACAAGGCGGAATCTTTTCTACTTCATTCCTTTGTGATATTAAAATGTGCTATTAGCAAGGGCCATAGTTGTTTGATCAATATCTTCTTGCTTCCTAACCCCAATTTACTGATATGAAACAGTTCCTAGTACACGTGAGGTACATTTCTAACACAGAGGCATATTCCTGCAAAGCACTTGCGTATCCTTTCTATAGACCTTTTGCCTTTCTCTAAGACCTGATTGCCTTTGAATTAACGCAGTTTAAGCTGCCGAGGGCTTGGTGCCTTGGCAAAGATGTGACTGTTATACTAGCTGTAGTGTATGCAAGCGGGAGCATAGGAGGTTCCACATAAACAGAAGGAAAAACTTTTTCACTGTGAGGGTAACAGAGCACTGGAACAGGCTGCCCAAAGAGTTTGTGGAGTCTCCTTCGCTGGAGACTTTCAAAACCTGCCTGGACACGTTCCTGTGTGACCTATTCTAGGTGATCCTGCTCTGGCAGGGGGGTTGGACTAGAAGATCTTTTGAGGTCCCTTCCAACCCCTGACATTCTGTGATTCTGTGACAGTCGGCACCACCAAGTACCCCGACAGCTAACGGCAAGGTTGCACACAACTCCGGGTTTGTGTGGAGTTTGGGGATTCTGGATGCCACCTAGAGGATTATCCTTGTTGTGCTCTCAGCTGCTTTTCCTCAGGAAAAGTGCTTTTCCACTTTTCCTGTGGCTTGCGGGAAGCAAGGAGCATCTGCTGGGCACCTGCCAGGTTTGATCCCATTGCAGCTGAGTGCTGAAGGCTCATGCTGAACGGGCTGGTGTAACCATGCAGCACAGTGCAGTACCACAGGTGGGACCTGGCTGGGGCTCAGGAGGCACTATAGTCCCATCGGACCTAATGATCAGCCCCAGATGGTGTCCTAAGCTGAACAGTCTTTCCCATTCTGGAGTCCTATGGGACACATCAGCCTCCAGAGAACCATACCCAACATTTGAAATTGATGCATGCACCACAAGGGCAACCCAGATGTGGCACTCTCTGGTTTCATTTCCTGCGCCTCTGGGCCATGTGTTTACAGAACACTGGTTCAGAGCTGCTAAGGACGGGGAATAAGATATTTAAATGGGTGCAGGAGCCAGTCCACCTCTTTGGACCTTGGCTGCTCAGGTGTGTTATCAGCATTGCTCTATCAGCATTGCTATCAGATTTTTCTAATCATCTTTAGCTTCCAACTTGGCTGATACTGCAAAACAATTTGTGTCAAGAGTAGTGGGAAAAAGCTGCCACCTCCACTATAAAATTAAACGTCTTCTGTATTTTACTGATTGCCATCAGCCTTCATTGCCCTGAAAATCTTCCTTTTCAGGCCCTTTTCCTTTTTTTAAGGTGATACTCATGATCGTTTTCCCCAAGTACCACTTCTATGCTTTCTGTCTTTTGCTGCACTGACTGAAGAGACATTGTCCACTTCCTTCTGTGTCTTTGTCCCCATAGGGCAAACCCTCACTCAGTGTGCTCTGAAGTAAGGATGCACAGAAGAGGTAAGGTCTTTTCACCCTTCCCCATCCTTCTGTAGCCACATCATGTAGATGGGAATTCTCACTCAGGATTGGAGATGGGGTTATAGATTTCTTTCAAAATAAGCCGAGATTTCTTTTAGCCAGATCAGAAGTATTTAGGTTTACTACCATGCTCCCCTTAAAGAGTATGTAGTGCCCACTGATTGTACAAAGGGTGGCTCATAGTCTTTCTGTCCTTGGCAGGGAATCGCTGCTGTATACGCTCACCGGAGAGCGGCACCGAGGAGAGAAGGTGGAGTGGAGGCCAGGGAAGATGACCCATGCCCAGAGGAACCTCTTTGGCCCCGTCGACCATGAGCAGCTGCGGCAGGACTTCCAGCACATGCTGCGCAGCAGCATCGAGGGGGCCCAGCAGAAGTGGAACTTTGATTTTCTCCGGGACACACCAACAGAAGGGCTTCTGCAGTGGGAAGAGCTCAGAGGCCTCGAGGTTCCTGCCTTCTACCACAGCTGCGTGGTGGGAGATGCTTGGAGACCACTGCAGCACTTAAACTGGCCCTTGGGCAGGAAGGACAAGAGCCACCACTTTGCTCAGGTGGCACTGACTGAGAAACCCCAAACTTCCAAGACAACAGGGAGCAAGTGGATCTCAGAAGGGAAGAAAAGAAAACAGACATCTTTGACAGGTGTGTGAGACCCTAGTGTAGCTCAGATGATCAAACCTGGTCCCAGCAGCTGCTTAGAAATTCTTTGATGGGCTCTTAAACCAGTGTTGCTTTCAGAAAGTGCAAGAAGCATCTGAAGGAGAAGGAAGGCACAAAGTTGATAGTCATGGATGGAGCTTGTGTTTTTCAAAGGTGTGCTGTGCCACAACCCCCCTTCTGGCCCTGGGGGGTCTGTTTAAGCCTTGTCAAGGTCAGAGGATTAAGATGATGGCCACTTCTTTCAGGATGACATTTGGGATGGTTTGGAGAGCTAGGTGTCTATAAAGGCACTCTAAGAAAAGCAGTGAGGTGATTTCTCAACAGGAACCCAGCAGGGAAACAGCATCACCCTCAGATGGGACTTTTCAGAGTTTTTTGTTTGCTTATAGGTTTGGACACGGGCACCCTTTCCTGAGGGCAATAATGAATGTGGTTCAGTCAGCTAAGCCTTAGGAAGAAGACCAGAAACCAGAGAAAGCAGCCAGGTCTCCTGCTGACTTCAGTTTGGATATTATACTTAGTGAATGCATCCAGGAATTTTAAGGGAAAATCGATCTTAAACTTGGCCAGGTGGCAGAAGGGGCTAGGTTTTCAAATGCCTCTCACCAGGACTTGCTGCCAGGAGTGGGTTTCAGCATCCGTAAAAGAGCTTTAGGTTTTCAAAAGTCCTCAACATCCTGCATGCTAAGGTCTTCTGGACATCTGGCCCCTCCCTTTCTCTTCTCAAGAGGATTTGAGCTTGTTTGAAAAACCTAATCCCATATATTAAATTTACCTTGTCTGTATTGGGGTTTTGGCCTATCCAAACCAGAGGTTTTCAAGACGTAGACCAAGGATTTTCTTTCAGGAATTTGATGTGAGGCACTAGCTTGAAATTGCCTGGAAGATAATTGAAGTGTTTCAGGAAACACTTTCTGAACAGTGATGTTGATCTCGGTTAAGTTAGACAATAGACTAATTTGCTATTTGAGGCTATGAAACTTAATTGCTAGTGAGAGGTTCAGGAAGAGGTTGGAGATTAATGAAGAGTGCAATGTTACAGACTAGAGTCCAGAACAATGATACTTAATGAGTGCTCTTTTCTTCTCCAAAGCACTTTACAGCCATTAACTAATTAACAGTATAATTTACAGGTAGGAATACAGAAGTGTAATTCAGAGCACAATGTTGTGATGGTTTGAGGGAACTGCAGTTCAATTGTAAATCTCTCACTAGGTGCGTGGGAGTAAATTATGCAGATATTTCCAGGGGATATTTTTCTTCCGTTTTGTTTTCCCCAGGCAAGAAACATTTCATCAGGGGATGTGGAAACCAAAATACCACTCTGCACAGTTTAACACTTTCCCACATATGTTTTCGTAAGAGAAAACACTTGGGTCTCTAACAAAAGTACCCTTCTCCCAAAGGAATCTGTGTGTGTGAGATGGGCCAGGAAAATCGTTTGCAATCTTCTCCTTTGGTGAGGCTTGGAGATGAGTGCCTCTCTCACAGGCATACAGACACACATACCTTCTTATTGCCAGCTGAAAGACAGAAGTTTCCCCCTGGCTGCACGAACCCAGGCTGTCTGGGCACGACTGAAGTAATTCAGGTAAAACTGAGGCAGGGAAAGTCGTACCGACTGATACGGTCTTGACCCCACATTTCTACCCCTTTGCTCTCCTTCTGCCATCCCATAATGAAAGGTTAGTTTAGGATTAGGATCTGAGGTTGGATTTGAACATAGTTATCTGCATTCTGCTTTGGTCAACGAGAGCACTGTAATGCTTTATGTTAAGATCCAACAATGTGCATTTAATTTAGACTTTCAAAGACAGCTGTGGCCCATTAAATAAATATCGATATATTAAAAACCAACCATGGGGTTTTGTGGACGTTGGCGCCTCCAGAGTGGAAGAAGCAGAAGTTTTCCTGCCACATTTGACTCCTCAGACATGCAGAGAGCAAACCAGGATGAAAGTAGATTTTTCTTTCTATCTCCCAACCCTTTTATTTAGACCTACTCCATCGCCATTCTCTTTTTTTTAGTGCAGACCTAGTGTGATTCTGCTCTGTTTTCTGGGAGAGTCTTGAATTAAAGATGGCTATAAGCCTTTTTCATTTTTTCCCCTGGTATTTTTTTTCTTTTTCCTCTTTTCTTTTTCCTCTTTTTTTAATGTTTTTGTTTTTTCTTCTTCTTTTTTCTTCTTTCTTCTTCTTAATTCTTTTTTTTTTCCCACCACTAATAAAGGTTGGTGAACCATGCCAATTCTTCACTTCTCTACCAAACGTTTTGCTTTGCCTCAGTCTGACACCCTTCTATCTTTGCTCTCCTGGGAGACATTCATAAACCTTTACCTTCTTTGCTAAAGGTCACATAGAGAAAATTGGTAAAAATCCTGTGTTTTCGCTGTCTGCTCTTACTTCTGAAGCAGGTAGTTCATGTAAGATGGCTGGGTTGAAAATGGGGAGAAACGGAGAGCAGGTGTTTAGGTAGGTATTTTTAAAAAACGGAAATCTTCCCCTCCTAAGTCCTGTGGCCAGGCTTTCCCAGACAGGCTGCAGGCAGCATCCATTGCACTGTGCCCTGCAGACGTATCATTAAGGAAGTTGGCTTCTGGAATCTCGTTGCACAAACTTGGCTGTGAAAGCCTACAGAATTCCAGTCAACCCACCAGTAATGTTCAGTGTTGAAATTAATACAAGACTTGATGCTGGGAGTACTTAATAGTTGTTACTGATTTGACTGTATAGAATCCTGAACTGAAATGGGAGCAAATTCATTGCTATGGGTACGAACAATCCACACTGGATAAATCTCATAAGCACTAAAGATAAATAATCATCCTCCATTTCAGCTAATTCTGCCCTATGACCTGAAAAAAAGTATGTATTATTTTGCACAAGGTTGGGGGGCATGGAAAGGAATTCATAAGGAAACTCCTGTGTTGTACTCACGGTACTCTAGTTAAAGGTGATTTATGTTTGTACCTGAAATATTCAGCCACACATACATAGGAAAATGGGGGATGCTCTCCCTGTGAGCCACACTGCTTTACACTCTGAGCAAAGAATTAGTTATAACTGAGTGATAGTGCAACGTTTTATCCATTCTTCCATGAATCTGCAGTTTTATCTAATAAGTAGAAGTGCTCCATACACATAGTTCTTCTGATGTTAGTTTGCAGAGTATATTTTGTTATTTTAAGGAGGAAACTCCCCAACTATTTCTGTCTGGAAAGCACTGCAACAGTGGATCTAAAAGTTGGAATGAAAATGTCACATTGCTCAGCTTGCATAAGAGGATCTAAAGTCTTCTGATCTCAACTGGATAAAAGCCAGCACATTTCCTTTGTTTTGCTTGATATTACGTAGCTCTATGTGGAACATGCTAAAGGTGTTAGTTTTGTTCATTCACGAGCTGTAGAGAAGTCTAAATGACTTCTTCAACACAAAAGCAAGTTTTGAGAGATTGCTTGAACACCAGCCATTATCAGTGTCATAGCCCTAATTCTGTTTATGTGTTCTTCTCCAGATTACTACTCAGCAAAGAAGCGAGTCAAAACGAATATGCAAGCTGCTGCAAAGAAGTCAACTTCATGAAAACAGGGAGAGGATTGCTCTGCACCAGCAAAGTTGGAAACAGCTGCCAAGCTTGCTCAACCTTCAAAAACTCAGTGCACAGGCTGCGGACACTTAGGGGCATCTCACAGAGATGTAATCCTGACAGCAGCAGTGAAAAAAAAAACTTTCGATGGGATGGGATCAGGTCTGATCAACTGGAATCACTTTGATGAGAAATTACTGGCCTTAAAAACCACTGGTAAGCAAGTTTGGATATTGCAGAAATTGGCTAAGGCTAGCAGTTTAACATGCATCAAAAATCCCTGTACACAAGAAAGCATTAAACAGTTAAAACATTAGACATGTAATAATGTGCTTGGGCAAGTCACCGTGCAGTTGAGGCCTTTCCATATTACCACGTCTTTACATACTCTCTTTTCTTGGTTTTAGCAGGGCTTACTAAATTTCACCATCTCAGCTTTACAGGTCTGACACACAAAAAAAAATCCCAGCCCTTTCTGTGATTTTTTTTTTTTCCCAGGTACGGAATTTTGTGCTTGCAATTATTCAGGGCATAAGTAACGGCGCTTGGGTGCCATACGCTGAGATGTAAATGGAGAAAGCTGAAATTTTTTGTGAATATTTCCATTTATATCAGCAGCCATTTTAGCCCTGTATGTCTGACCCCCCCCTCCCACCCCCCATAAAATAATTAGGTTGTTAAACATACATTATGGGGAAAAAATTGTATATATATTCTTGTACCTTTAAAATCATTCCTATTCCCAGCTGGGCCAAATCCAGTGTTTAATTTGGGTTGTGCTCTTCCATCTAGGTCTATGAGTTTGCTCGGTGAGAAAAAAAATAAAATTTGCCCAAAAAATTGTCCACAGTGCTTTATTCTGCTGCTTGTAAGAACATAGTAAGAATGAGGGGAGTGGCTTAGTTGCCATTTTGTGTTTTTAATTCATACTACTAATCTTTCTATAAGAAGAGAAGGGGCATTAATAACACTGAAATGTTACACATGCAACAATTTTAGTGTTGCACAGGCTGCTTTTCTGTGGCATGTGTTAACATATATTTTTCCATCACCTACTTCTTATTTCCCTTTTTTATTCCCCTGACTGTTTGGGATAATTGAAATTTTATAGCACATAATAATCAGTGGATAAACCTGAAAAAGAAACCTATAAAATATGCATTCTAAATTATACTGCTGCATATGGTCTTAAGATGCATGCAGTGTTTAAATGAACTCATTTGGGAAGAGCTCTGTAAATGTCAGGTTTTTAGAACAACATGAGATCATGCACTACTGCATTTTGTCTCAAATCTAAACAAACTAAGATTTATTTTGAGTAGTAAAAATTAACTTGCTTATGATTGTGTGTGTCAGGTGTACGTACGAGAGGTGGTGTTAAGCAAGTTGCACACCCTGCATTACGTGCAGCATCGGGAGGCTTTAGTGTGGGATTTTTTTCCCATTGAAAGCTGCAAGTGTTAGACATAAATAATAGCTGGTTTCCCCAAATGATATGAAACAGTGATTTCATCTGTTGCTGGGTGCTGGGATAAAGATAGTCAGCAAATTGCAGGGTCAGAGCCTGTTTTGAGCAGCTTAAGAGTCACAAGCTATGATTTTTCTCTCCTGAATTTTTGATAAAGTTAGGAACAAACCTTGCTCCAGCTGATGTCAAAGAGAGTCTTACCCAAATGAAGCAGGACAAGGGCCAGCCTGGCAACTGCTGCTTCCAGAGCCTTCAGTGTGTTTCGGGGCCAGGCCAGTCTGTTACAAGCTTTTCAGCTTGCTAAAACATAGCATAAAGGTGTGGGACTGGGCTTTTTGTATATTTGTTTTAATTTTAAACCTTGCTTGTGATTAGAATAATCTAATATATTTTTATTTTTTAAAATGCGGTGATTTTCTCCAATTAGGAAAAATTGCACAACTGTTTCTCTATGTGTTTGTGAATTTAAAGCAGGTTAATGATGCTGTGCGCATTTTTGGTTTGTAGCAGGGTTACTTGCAGAATTGCTTTCTGACCAGGATGGCATGAGCTGTGCACAAAAGCTCTAAAGTCAGCATGCATGAGGTTATCGTGAAGTACATTTCCTTTATTTGGAGAAATAATGACTAGCAGTGTACTGCTGTCTGAAAGAAACAAGGAAGGATTGTTTTTTCGTATTAATTCCAAAAGAGCTCAGTGCTTAAGTGTATATTTAAAAGGAATTATCTGCCTTAAATGCTTTGTGATCAGGACACTTTAATGTCATAAGAATTTGTAAAACACAGGTTTTGGATACCATTTAGAGAGAAATTCCAGTATATTCAGATAAAACATGGAGACCATGTTGAACGTTCAGCCTATCGGTGTTTAGAGCATCTCGGGTAGCTGTGATTGTGACTGGGAGTTCACGGCTAGGGTAGAAGAGAGTTTTCTGCTGATTAGACAAGGTGATGGTAGTGGTTTTTGAAGTGACAGAATACTGAGGATGAGTGTCCTCTGCTGGCCTGCACTCTGTTACAGCTGCACTGATCTGTGGTGGAACTGCCTTGATTTACACCAGAGGAGACTGAGGCCAAGATGTTTTGCACTAGTCCTTTTAGTTACTCTCCAGAATAAATAGCCAAGCTAGCTGTGTAAAGCCATTACCTCCTTTCTATACACACAGGTTTTAAAAGATAAAGAAAAGTGGTTTCTGCTATAGTGTGACAGCCAAAAATAACAACAAACCTCCGATTAGTGTCTGAGCTTAATCATCAACAGGGTAGATAAAGTGTCTCTGTGTTTCGTTATCATGCTGATGAAGGAACAGTGAAATGAAGAATATCTCATTATGTTGTTCAACTTGTGAATTGCACTTTCTTGTTTAACACAGCATGCACAAGAAGATATGACAGTGTCTAGCAAAGCTGTAATAATAATATTTTTTTTAATAGTAGGTGTGTCTAAAACATTACTATTCTTTATATGAGGCAGCAGACCTGATAGAAAAAAGCAATTCACTGAAGCTTTGGTCTGCTTCATTCCCTGGACATAAACAGCGTGTTGAATGTACCAAGCCTAATCCTGTAAGAAAGCTGTTGAGGGCTCATTTGCTCACCTGTGAGTTTGACAGGCTGGAGGGGTCTGTGGCCATCCGTCACCCCCCAAAGTGGCACTTTCTCACCATGAGAAGCAGGGGGAGAAGCAATGAGGGTGGTGAAACACTGGAACAGGTTGCCCGGAAAGGGGGTAGAAGCTCCATCCCTGGAGGCATTCAAGGTCAGGCTTGATGGGGCTCTGAGCATCCTGACCTGGTTGAAGATGTCCCTGCTTACTGCAGGGGTGTTGGACTGGATGACCTTTACAGGTCCTTTCCAGCCCAACACATCATTCTATGATATGATGATATGTTCAGACTTTGGATGTTAGGGCCAGAGTAGCAGCACTGGCATGAGGTCCTCTGCAGATAAGTGAGGACAGGGATACTGCAGCAGGAGCCCAGAGCATACTGTAACCTCAGCACACTGATAAGTAGGTACAACTACATCTACTGGAGCCCTTCTCCTTTTCCTTTGTGTTTTTTTTTAGCGTAAGCTGCATGTGTGACTCAGGGCTGTATATAATTCAACAGCCACAACCTAGCTTCCGCTGATACTACAGTGTGGCCAACATATACATTAGGGAAGTGAGTAGTGCAGACCTTTTTTCCATCTGAGATAAATGTGTCCCATGTGCAACAGAACCTGAGCTGAAAATGGGACAGGGCAAGAACACTTGTTTTATGTTTTGTACAAACATGGAAATAATCTCTCAGGTATGGATTGTGTCATTAAATTCCTTTCAACAGCAACTGGAGAAGGTTGTTTCATTTGGGCGAAAAAGCTGGGAAATGTGATTCTCCGCAGGCTTCCAGTTATTTTCAGGGTGATCCAAGTAGAGCTTTCTTCTACTTAAAACAACTCCTTTGCAAGCTATTCTGATGTACCCTTCTGTAGGGTAGCATTGGTTTTCTGTAGAAGCTATCAACCTGGTAGATGCTTTATTATTTTATGATTATCTTTGTTAATAGGCTTTGGGGCTGGACAGAAACACAGAAACGTCTGGCTAGAGGGAAACCTAGAAAGTCACCTGCTCCAGCCCCCTGTGCTAAAGCAGGATCGGGACTTGCTTGTTCCAAAGCTTGCAAACTGCTGCAAGAAATTATTTGCTCTGCTCATGTGGCGAATCTCAGGGGTAGCCAAGGTCATCAGCGAGATTCAGAGTATCTGTGTTATACAAGATGTTTTCTTTCAGGTATTCATTTGGCTTGGCTGTTTTTGTTGCAATGCTGCGGACGCGGTTGAATTCTCCATAAGTAGATGTGTTGAACCATTTGGTTGTCAGATGTGGATATTTGCAATGTCATCAATAAATGCTGGTGCATAAATATGTTTTAATAGCAAAAGAAGTTGAATTTTCTTCTATTCAGGAAAGTTGTTTTTGTTTTGGTTCTGCACTACTCTGACATGGCCTTTCTACACTGATCCCCTTCCTATAGCTCCATCACTTCCACACACATTGGCTTAGGCTGTGGGGTACTATAAGCTAAGCTGACCTACAGCCCAGAAAATATGTTTCTGCAGTGGATATTTCACGGTTTCCCACTGAGATGTCACAAATCATATAGGAGGAAACTCTTTTCCTTTCTTCATTTTCTTAGATTTTTCTGCTTAGGAAATGCTGCCTCTCTTACTTTCAGCAATCTGTTCCCTTGGCAAGAAATACGACTATCAGATGTTTAAAATTAAAGTTGTTAAAATCAAATTTGCAAAGGCAGGAGGGTTTGCCCCAGTGTCCTGGACATAATCCAACTTTGGTAATTACGTCTCGCTTAAGTAAATCCTTCTTGCAGTTTCATGGCGTTCTTCCTGTCCCGCTGAAATCTGCTGCAGAGAGCTGCTGTGACATGACATGTTACACATCTGCCATGTTTTTACCCAGAAGTGGCCATGCTTCAGTAGGAGATGAAGTGATTTATAATATATGGCATGCATATGCACAGATTTTTTT